TTCCTGTATTAGGTAGAGCTGCTACAACGCCTAGGTTGGTAATATTCCCTCATATAGTAGATATCCTTTAGGGGCAGTGGTACAACCTTCCAAGCCACCTGACCTAGGTACGGCAGGTATGTCCCATGTGGGTTTTGTGCATCTTCCTGTTTTAGTTCAGTTTTGAATGCTGATGACACATAACTGGAATTGACCCCTAGGCTGTTTGACTGAGAGGGCTGGCCATTACCCCTATGGAGGATCTCCTGTGCAAAAGCCAACCCTACAGAGTAGACTTGCTTCAGTGAGCTTTTGTGCCCTCTTGAGTCCAACCCTTCAGTATGTCACTCGTGGAAGTGGTTGTGTTGTATTCTGACATGGTCTAAAGCTATCCATTTAGTACTCTAGTTCTGAGACCTCCTGGTAATTGCAGACTATCACCTGTGTCCTTCCAGGGAATTCCAGGCATAAGCTATGGCCCCTATTTGGGCTGTGCTTTGATATGCCTAAGAGGAGCCAATCTGTGAACCAAGGCTGGCCGCACTAATGCCCGAACTAGGCCAACTTAGCAAGGAGTATGGGATATGCAGAGGTCAAATGCTGCTTGTTTAAGAAATTTTAGTTAAGTTGGAAGCTTAACTAAATGAGTAAGAGAGGCCATTTGTATGAAAAAGCCACTGGAAAAAACCTAGATGAGCCTGAAAATTGAATGGACTGTGTCTCAGGGCATCACCAGGGTGGCAAACAGTGTTAGTCAGGTTGATGGAAAACCAGTTATAGCACCTGCCAGTTCTGTGGGGGAAGTCTTGGCAAAAGAACAATGGCCTCTGCCAGGACTTTTGCCTGGTAGAAAACTGTCCCTCCAGCCCTGGGCCTGAAGCCAGATAATTCTGTTCCTCCCCATATGTTCCAATGCCTTTCAAAAGCTATTGTGTCAGTAGTGCTACACTCAAATAGAGTGAGTCCAAGTAAATCTGTGCTCAGACTCTTTAAGAGGAGTGCCAGGGGCTCCAGAAGCCCTCCATCTCATGCAGTCACCACCATCCTGGTTAGTTTTTACAGTCCTATGTTATAGGGATTTCTTTTTCCAGCAATGAAATCCTAGACTGGGGTTTCTGGTGTGGAGCTTGGATCCCTGGCTCTTCAGAGGAGAACCTTAATAGCCTAGACATCCCTACCAATTTTTACTGCTAGACATAGGTGTGGCCCAGCCCTTTCCATGTCTACCAGTCTCAATGTAGCTTATTGTCCTTTGTTGTAGGACTTGCTAAGTTGGGATTACTAGATTTCAGGTGGTACTGAATGATTCTTATTTTGTAGTTCAGTTATAATTTTGATGTGATTGTGGGAGGTTCCAACTACCTCTTTCATTTATGCCACCAACTTGACCAGAACTCCCCAAGACTAGAAAGTCTTACTTAAGAATTCACAACTTTTTCTTCTTCCAAAGCATCTCTCCTTCATATGGTCCACAATATAGCTCACTCAATTCATTCAAGCCCAATAATTAATTCACTACAATAAAAATGATATTGGGGTGTATATTATATATAAAGTTTAGATAAATTACAAAGGGTCTATCATATTATTCCAGTAGCTTCATCAGATTAACGATATGAATTTGTCACTTTTGATTTGCATCTCTCAGATAATTAGTGACTTTGAGCATGTTTTCATTTATCTCTTGGCCTTCTGTATGTCCTCTTTCCCAAAGAGTCTATTTAGGTCCCTTGCCCAGGGTTTTTTGTTTGTTTGTTTTGGTTTTTTTTTTTTTTTTTTGTGTGTGTGTGTGTGTGTGTGTGTGTGTGTTTTGTTTGTTTGTTTGTTTTGTGTGTGTGTGTTTTATTGGACTGTTTATCTTTCTTTCGTTAAGTTGTATGAGTTCCTGGTAAATGTTGGAGATTAAACCCTTATCAGAGATAATATTGGAAAATATGTTATCCCATGCAGTGGGCTTTCTTGTTTTGTTGATGGTTTCTTTTGCTGTGCAGAAGCTTTTTATTTTGATGTAGTCCATTTGTTTATTTTTTCCTTTGTTTCCATTGCCCTAGGAGCTGAGCTGCATTGGTAAAGATATTGCTACAACAAATGTCTATTTTGATTCTATGGCTTCTTTTAAGATTTTTATGGTTCCCCATCTTTCGTTTAACTCTATCCATTTTGAGTTTATTTTTGTGTATGGTGTAAATTGATGGTCTAGTTTAAATTTTTTTGAATGTATTTCTCCAATTTTCCCAACACCATTTATTGAAGACTGTCTTGACTCTATTGTATGCTCTTGCCTCCTTTGTCAAATATTAATTGAGCATACTGGCTTGAGGCAATTTCGGGGTTTTCTGTTCAGTTCCATTGGTCGATATGTATGTTCTTGTGCCAGTACCAGGCAGTGTTGAGAACAGTGGCTTTGTACTAGTAATATAGCTTGATATATGGTATTGTGATCCTCCCTACTTTGTTATTCTTTCTGAGGATTGCCACAGCTATTAAGGGTTTTAATTTTTGGAGAGTTTTTTCCTTAGTCTGTGAAATATGCCATTGATATTTTTATGGGGATTGCATTAAATCTATAGATTGCTTTGGGTAGTAAGGACATTTTAATGATGTTGATTCTAAAAATCCATGAACACGGTATATTCTGCCATTTGTTTATGTCTTTCTCAATCTCTTTCTTCAATGTCCTGTAGTTTTCCAAGTACAGGTCTTTTACCTCCTTAGTTAAGTTTATTCCTAGGTATCTTAATTTTTTTGTTGCAATGGTAAATGAGATTGTTTTTGTTGTTTCTCTTCTTGTGAGTTTATTATTGATGTATAAAAAGGCCATAGATTCTGGGTGTTAATTTTGTATCCTACTCATTACTGAATTAATTTATTAAATCTAAAAGCTTTTTTGATGGAGTCTTTAGGGTTTTCTGTGTATAATATCATGTCAGCTGCGAATAATGATGATTTTACTTCTTTTCCAATTTGAATGCCTTTTATTTCTTCTTGTCTGATGGCTAAGGCTAGCACTTCTAGTACTATGTCGAACAGGAGTGGTGAAAGTGGGCATCCCTGTCTTGTTCCTATTCTTTTTGCCCATTCAGTATGATGGTGGCTGTAGGTTTGTCATATAAGACTTTTATTATGTATAATCCCTCTATTCCCACTTTGCTGAGAGTTTTTATCAAGAAAGGGTGTTGGGGTTTTTTCAAATGCTTTTTCTGCATCAACTGATATGATTATGTGATTTTGTCTCTCAATTTATGTGATGGATCACATTTATTGATTTGTGGATATTTTATCAGCCTTGCAGCCTCAAAATAATCACACTATCATGGTGTATGATCAAAATGCTGGATCCGATTCGCTAGAATTTGGTTGAGGATTTCATCATCTTTGTTCATCAGGGATATTGGCCTATAATTCTCTTTCTTTGTAGTGTTTTTATCTGGTTTTGGGATTAGGAGAATAGTGACTTCATAGAAAAAGCTTGGAAGTGTGCCTTCCTCTTGAATTTTTTTGAATAATCTGAGGAGAATAATTTTTAGTTCTTCTTTGAATGTTTAGTCAAATTCCCCTGTGAAGCCATCCAGACCAGATCTTCTGTTTGCTGAAAGCTTTTTTTTAATTTTTATTACTGCTTCAATTACATTGTTAGTTATCGGCCTATTCAGGCTTTTTTTTTTTTTTTTTTTTTGCTCTTCCTGACTATGTTTTGGAAAATTTACATAATTCTTAATAAAGAAAAAGTTATTTCCAAATCCAAGTGGCAAAGGCAAAACAGAAAAATATTTTATAATAAATTCTCTTTTTTTAATATATATTTTTTATTTCAGAGAGAAAGGGAGAGGGAGAGACAGAGAGCAACAGCAATGATGAGAATCACTGATCGGCTGCCTCCTGCAGGCCCCACACTGGGGATTAAGTTTACAACCTGGGCATGTGCCCTGACAGGGAATTGAACCATGAACTCCTGGTTCATAGGTTGATGATCAACTATTTAGCCATACCAACCAAGCTTCACTAAATTCTTATATTCTAGACTAATGCCAAGTTAAGAAAATGATTCTGAATTAAGATAGTATCTGGGTACTTTAAAACAGAAAACTCAAAAATTATTTTGTGCATCCAAGACAGTACTGATCTGAGATGAATTTTTCTTAAAATACTAAGGTTAGATTTAGAATTTAGTTACATGTTACATGATAAATATTATTCTCGATTCTGAAAGAAGTATCAAATTCTCTCAAAATGCTATAATTCATTATTTTAATCTACTATCTATAATAATAATAAAAGCATAATATGCTAATCATACTGGATGACCTTCCTTCCTAACAAAGCCTCAGTGGGCAAAGGCTGTGGCAGAGGCAGCAGAGGCCTCTGGCCGCAACAGTGGCGGATGGAAGACAGGGCCGAGGCTTGCACAAATTTCGTGCATTGGGCCTCTAGTTGAAGTATAGTTCTCCACAGCTTTTATATCTTTAAATCCCACAAGAGTATATTATTTTCCACAAATATTGCATTAAACAGATATGTAATCCTATTACATTAAAAATATACCTTACAAATAATAATGCAATTATTTAATTTATTCACTCAAATAAATATTACTCAACATTCATTGACTAGGAATATTTAAATTTACATACACTAATTATATTCTTAATTAAATATTTATAGGATTGAAAGGACAACTGTCAGTCTTCATTGGAATAAAAATTATGAAGAAACAATATGGGAAATCCTTTTGATAAAAAAAAAAAAAGAGAGAGAGAGATTAAGAAAAACAGTTGAGCTTTGATTTTGGAAAGTCATTTCTGAATTAATTACATTAAAAATTTCAATTTTCAATCATTTTCAAAATTCTGTATCTGTGATTATGGTACATATTTTTAAATAAATAAAAAATAATTAAGGAATCAATAACCTTCAGGTTCAACAAATTTTTGTTTAAAGCAGTTCTGTTACAACTCTTTTGAAAAAAGTCACACCAACCACAAACTTTTAAATTATAATTAATACTAGAAGCCAATACTCACAAAGAAGGATCTTGTACGAGATCTTTGAGATTTATCCCACTGCGATCTTCTGCAAGATTCCTGAAGCAACTATCACTCACTAAACAGGAAAGGGGGAAAGAAAAATAAAATTAATTTTTGTTTAGATTTCATTTAACTTACTACTGACAAAATTAATTTTGAAATTAAAATTCTCCCTTAGGATATAGTTTTTCCAAATAACAATACTGGTCAATCTCTGGGCCTGGTACACTTAGCAAGAAATATTAATATTCAATCACAAACCAATAATATAAACACAAAAACTCTATATAAAGTACAGTGTATAAAAGAGTAAACCTTTTAAAAATTTTGTCATTTTTTACAAAGCTAAGTTATCAGCACAGAGTAGAAAGTCACTGCTTTCACAAAACTTGAAAAAATATATAAATTATTGCCCCAAATCATATTTTTAAATATACTGAAAAATAATGGAAATAAAATCTATACTAATAAAAGGGTAACATGCTAATTAGACCTGGAGACCTTCTGAGAGACCTTCAGATATCCTTCTGGACAAAGCCATGGTGGTGGGGCCTAGACAGAGGCAATTAGGGGCGAGCAAGCCAAGAGGGGAGAGCAGTTGGGGGTGATCAGATTGGCGGGGGGGGGGGGGGAGAGGAGAGGGAGTTGGGGTTGAGCAGGCCAGCAGTGGGAGGACAGTTGGGGGTGAGCAGGCTGGCAGGTGGGGACAGTTGGGGTGATCAGGCCAACAAGCGGGGGGCAGTTGAGGGCAAGCAGGCTGGTGGGAGGGGTACTTGGGGGCGAGCAGGCCAACAGGGGGGCAGTTGGGGATGATCAGGCTGGCAAGGGGAGCAGTTCGGGAAAGGAAGGGCGGCAGGGGGGGGGCAGTTGGGTGTGATCAGGCCAGCAGGTAGAGTGGTTAGGGGCAATCAGGCAGGCAGGCAGGTGAGTGGTTAGGAGCCAGTGATCCCGGTTTGTGAAAGGGATGTCTGGCTGCCAGTTTAGCCCTGATCTCTCTGGGACATCCCCAGAGGTATCAGAGATTGGAGTGGGTGCAGGCCAGGCAGAGGAACACTCCACACCCCGTGCACAAATTTCATGCACCAGGCCACTAGTAAATAAATAGAAAAGTAATATCTATTCTTAGGTAAGCTTGGACTGTTGATTGCTTTCATTTCTGGGAGATGTGCCATTTAGACACAAACTAAGATTCAGAAAGAGTGACACCACCACGGAAAAGAGAAACCAGCATAGCTCTTTATAGTTCATGCACTTGTATGATAAGATTGGAATTTTATGAAATTCTCCAAATACAGAGTTTTCTATTGGGAGATCTGTTGAGGACTTGGACTGCATGAATGGACTGAGAAAGAAGGACAGATTGAGTCAGAAAGGGGAAAAAAATGTTTTCTGTAGTGTTATAGTGCTTAGGAGTCAAACTCACACTGTAACAGCAACTACCACTTATAGTATAGAATTTCAACAGGTTTCCCATCAAGACATTTGTTTTCAACCAAAAACACCCCACCTTGAGAGGGGGGGATGAAAAAGAGGAGGCAAAACCCAAAACATAGAGCAAAATCTCGCACAATATCACAGTTCATTAAGTATAGTCACAACAAAGAGAAATACCTGCAACAAAACAAGTCTTACTTTTAAGACATTTAAAACCAGAGGTACGAGGTATATGTAAAGGTGTCACTCAAATCACCCAGCTCAAATCATGGTTAAGGTAATTAGCACTTCATCATTTCTTTGTAATATAGCAAAAAAAATAACATTTACATCAACCTTATTATCCTATAAAAACAGTTTTGGGGATAGAATAATAATTATGAAACATGGGCTACAAAATATGACCAATAACTAATAAAAAAGTAATATCTATAATCTGACCTACAGATGATACAGATTTAGAAGATAAAGACTTTAAGAAAACTATATAACAAAGGTTAAATAAGGCACAGAAAAGTGCTCACAGAAGAAGAAAAATTCAACAGATAAATCTTTGGAAATAATTAGTGATTTTAGAACTGAAAAATACCATATGTGAATTTGAAAAATCAGTGGCTAAGTTTTATAGCTGACCCAACACAGCAAAAGATAGGCTAGTGAACTTGAAGAGATCAGCAGAAAATATCTAACTAAAGCACAGAAAGAATGAGAAAAACAAAACAAAAAAGACATGTGGGAATTAATCCAGCTTAACTGCAGTTGAGGAGAGTGAATGAGGATAAAGTAATAGTTTTTTTTTTTTTTGTTTTTTTTTAAGAGCTAAGAGTACACCTAAACTGATACTATATGTATTATCTCACTAACTAAGGAAATATAGCCAACCCAAGAATAAAAAAATTAAAGAAAGAAAATCAGATGCAGCAGTAAAATGGCTGAATATTAAAGAAAACCTTAAGTACAGCTAGGAAGAAAAAGGACACATCACTATCAAAGGAAAAGCAAACCTTATAGTTGAGTATTCAACATAAACTGTGGAATCAGAAGACAATGAGATGACATGTTTAAAATGCTGGGTGAGGGAGGAGAATCTGAGAATATAAAAAAATCTATATCTTGATAAAAATATTTATTCTAAAATTAAAGGCAAAACAATACTTTATATAATACTAGAAGCCCAGTGCAGGAGATGGGGGGGGGGGGGAGGTAGGGTCCCTCAGCCTGGCCTGCACCCTCTCCAATCCAAGACCCGTCGGGGGATGTCCAGCTGCCAATTTAAACTGGCAGTCGAACATTCCTCTTGCAATACGGGATGGCTGGCTCCTACCTGTTCACCTGCCTGCCTGCCTGCCTGATCACCCCTAACCACCTCTGCCTGCCAATTTGATCACCCCTAACCACCTCTGCCTAGGCCCTGCCAACATGGCTTTGTTCAGAAGGATGTCTGGAAGATGTCTAGTCTATCTGGTCTAATTAGCATAGTACCCTTTTATTAGTATAGATTTTATATTAGGTAAGCATAAATATTAAGTGATTATTTCCTATTTCAAGTTAACAGTATACACACACACACACATACACACACACACACACACTGAATGGCCAGATTATTATGATCTCAGAACGCATAATAATCTGACCACTCAGTGCAGACTAACCACAGAGTTGAGATTTTAAAATAAGGTTTTTCCATGTATAAGAACTGCATTGTGGGTAGTTAGAAGCAGAGGACTTACTAGCCAGAAGCTAGGGGCCACTATCTCCTGGTCCCTTGACATATCAAGATTTGCAAGCTTTCCCTTATTCATAGCATACTGAGTGGCCAGATTATTATGCATTCAGAGATAATAATCTGGCCACTCAGTGTGTGTGTGTGTGTGTGTGTGTGTGTGTGTGTGTGTATGCCATTTATAATCTTTATAAAAAGCAAGAACAATATTACATTAAAAATATTTAAAGTTGAAAAAGGTTTTAATTCTTATTAATTGCCCCCAAAATCCCCTTGTTTTTTGCAATGAGTGAAGTAATTTTGATTAATATATAATTTTCATTACATATTTAATAAACACTGATCTCAACCAGTTGATTTGAGACAAAATTTCTGCTTTTCATAACTTTAACAAAAATGTTCTTTATTATACCATTAAATGAGTAGGATCAAAAAAGAAAATGTTGGCATATTTTAAGAAAAGTTGTTTTCAGCTGAGTTGAACTAAAATTGAAAGTATGATAATACATTATAAAATTTGTTCTCAAAAAGTTTCTTGCCCAATTTGGCAAATGCAAGTGCTTAGTTATAAATATCAAGAGCCTATAGGTTTGGTAGGCTTAATTAAAATGGAATAAACCTTTGATCCTTTAAAGGCTTGCTAGTCAGCTCTCTGTGAAATGAGTTTTGCTAAAAAAGGCCCTTTTCTAAAATTAATGTCCAATCCAAATATTAAGTTAAAAACAGAAGAAATCTAAAGAAATAGTTTATTAACAAAAAATTCTGAAACTTTTGGCTGCCTAAGAAAATACATATTTTAGTTAAAATTTTTTTCAACAATGCAACAAACATTATTTCTGAATTATAAATAAGAATAGAGGCCCGGTGCACGAAATTCATGCAGTGGGGATAGAGGGGGTTGTTCCTCAGCCCAGTCTGCAACCTCTCCAATTTGGGACTCCTTGGGGGATGTCCTCAACTACCCTTCCCTGTTGCCCTCCCCTGAAGGCCTGGTCCCTCCACAACTGACCTTCCCTGCTGGCCCGATAACTCCTAACTGCCCTCCCTTGCAGGTCTGGTCGCCCCTAACTGCCTCTGCCTGCCTAATCACCCCTAACTGCCTTCCCCAGCTGGCCTCTGCCTGCCTGATTACCCTTAACTGCCCTTACCTTGCCGGCCTGATCTCACCCCCAACTTCCCTTTCCTGCTGACCTGATCTCGCCCCTCCCCTGCTGGCGTGGTTGCCCCCAACTACTTTCCCCTGTCAGCCTAATCTCACTCCTAATAATCCTCCCCTGCCTCCCTGATTGCCTGCCAGCCTGATTGCCTCCAAGTGCCCAACCCTACTGGCCTGATCTTGCCCCCAATAGCCCTCCCCTGCGGACCTGATCTCACCCCCAACTGCCCTCCCCTACCACCCAATTTGGTTTTGATTGGTAAATTCTATGCGATTCAGCATCTAAAGCTCCACCTCCTAGGCAGCCATTGGCTCCTCACAATTCACCCAGATGTGGTTCTGATTGGTTGGTTTCTATGCCAGTCGGCATCAAAAGTTCTGCCTCCTAGGCAGCCATTGGTGCCTCACATTTCACCTAGATTTGATTGTGAATGGTCAGTTTCAATGCCAGTCAGTGTCTCTGGGTCTAACTCTAGACCTGACCAGAGAGGCGGTCCTGATCAGCAGCCCCCCCTGGTGGCCTGGAGAGAAACAGAGGTATGGCTGCTGGCGAAGCCCAGAGAGAAAGAGCGAGGCAACAGCTGGTCAACAGCAGCCATGAAGGCTGGAAATCAGACCCTGCCTTTCTATTCTCTCTGGGCCTGAACCTTAGTCCTCTAAGTAGTCAGTGCTGGGTCACCGTGCCCACACAGTGGCTGTCAGTGCATGGCAAGCCAACATTGGCTGCAGGACTGACTTCCAGTCCGTTGAGCCTTCAGTC